AAAGACATGCAGGTTAACTGGTGACTCTAAATTGTCCGTAGGTGTGAATGTGAGTGTGAATGGTTGTCTGTCTCTATGTGTCAGCCCTGTGATAGTCTGGCGACCTGTCCAGGGTCAGCTGGGATAGGCTCCAGTCCCCGCAAACCCCAACAAGGTAAGCAGTTATGAAAAATCAAGTAATGAATGAATGAATGAACAGTAGTTATGTTTAAATTAGAGCTATAAAATCTGTAATGTTGTGATGAGTGTCAAGAGCATAGACTGTGCAAGAATAATGGACATAGCCACGATGACGTCACAAATTGTGGACATGTTTGTGGGCTCTCATTTTAAAGCTTCGAGGTTGGCTGCTGCCATCTTGGATTTTTTGGAGCCAGAAACAGACAATTTTGGAATAAAAGGTGGAGCTGTGGAAGAGCAAAGGCTGGATCTAACCAAACCAACCAAGGATCAGCACTGGGCTTTAAAGCCAATTTTACATAGTGGCCAAAAGTGGAAGAACACATTCAGGTCCATCATGTGAGGCCATTGGGCTCACATGATGGAGGATGGGCTTTTTCCCATAGACTTTCAATGTGAAAGAGACGTCTGTAAACCAGTGACAACATTTTTAGCGTCACGACCCCAGCAAAAAGACTTGTTTCACTGTCAGGGATTTATCCATTTGGTCAGTTAACATTTCTAAAATCTAGAAGAGCTGCACGATTATATAATTTTATGTCCATTTCAGTTAGTAGAGCACTAAACAGGAAGTTGCACTCAGCTGCGTTCCACCACCGCAAGTCTCCAGGATGTAGATGATCCTGGTAATTTCATAATGTGGAAACTGAGCTTTTTTGGCTTCATGCACCACTTGGCAACTTTCAAAGGACTTAACAGGGTCCCACCTCCAACGCTGTATCCACTTCTCTTTATACATCCATGGATCTGATTCATGGACTGTGGTGATGTCATGACGGTCTGTTACTCAAAGTGGCCACGCCCTTAATTGTGCATAAATTCGAGCTTAAATAACATTTGCATGACTTTAAACGTGAGTTATTTAAAATTTCAGCCCCAGTGCAGCTGTCATAGATGAAGAAATTAGCTACAGAGACCAAAACTGCTTTTGTTGCACCAGGGTGTAAACATTTGGGCATTTTAACATGAAGGTCTTTGGGGACTGACTCACTTATGAAGTCAGCCTCAAGTGGCCATATGGCGAACTGCAGTTTTTGTCACTTGTATATTGGTTTTGTTTTTCAGCCTTGGTGGTCACGAGTAAAAACCTGAGAGAGGTTTATGCTGACAGTCATGTGACCCTCACTGAGTTATGTTGCAGTTGTGTGTAGCAAATTTCTGCCTGTGTGAAATGAACAACGATTGTATCGCATAATGTTACAATACAGAACAAAGAAGCAATAGCAACTGATCGGACAGACATGAACAAGAATCATCCCCATACTAGCTCTGCTACTGTAATCATGCAGTAACTGTTTTGTTTGATTGTAACAACAGCAAATAACAATGTAGTTTGACAAAACTAGCATCATACTATTCAAGAATGCAGCTTTATTTCATTGACTGTTTCCAGTGGAAAGAGGACATTAAAAAAACTTAACACTGATTAACTGCGTTGCGAGGTGCCCTTTGACTCAGTGCATTACTGAAGGCCACAATGGCTTTGTCACATGATGGAGGCAGATGAGACGACGCTGCCTAGCCCCATGAATGGAACATTTACATTTAAAAAACACCCAGATGGAACTGTTGATAGGAGCACTGTTCTCTGCAGTTTCTGCAGGAAGGAATTTTCGTACCACTGGAGTTCTTTAAAGGGAAATTTCGGTTTATTTCAACCTGTCTCCCATCATCCTAAATTTGTTTCAAGTGACTAGTGACATAAAAATAATAGTTAGCATGTTAGCCGTTAGCCTAGATACAGCCGGGGCGCATAGTAGCGTCAGACCTGTTAAAACGTAAGTGAACGGGCAATCTTCAAGTACAAAGTTAGTCCACTAAACAAGCTTTTTTTTCCACAAAGACCACCTCATATCATTAGGATAAATGTCAGAGAACATATAGAAAATGACATGTAAACGTGTTGTCTTACCTTACTGGTGTGCTGCCATGTTTGCTGTTTACCATTTAGCTCTGCTTTCCAAAGCGCGGCCGAAATATCGCGAGAACAAGCAGCTATCTCATACTGTGCCTGAAATCTCGCGAGCTCTAGATAAAGTCCAGCTGGATACTACTCCAGGTGGAGTGTCTCGTCCTCGGTCACATCCAGACCTTGAAAATAAGGCTGCAACCGGTCCCATTCCTTGCAACAGAGGCATTCCTCTTCTGTGGGCACTGGGGCACAGCATTCACAGGTACACCACCAATCTCCAGAGCTACGCAGCCTTGCAGCAGCCATTCCTCCTCTCTCGTCCTCTACCTGTTGTGCCTCTCTCTCTCTCTCCTCCTCCGTTCTTCAATTTCACGAAGCTCTTCGTCAGTGTATTCTGGCTCAAATAAATAAGAGCGGCCATCAAACTCTGCAAAATCAAATTCCTCCTCCACAAAGTTGAAGTCTGGCAAAAAGTCAGCCATTATTCTATAAATCTTTCATAAAATAAATGAATGAACTTTTCAGGCTACTGTCCGGTTCTGCCTTCCAGCTGCTGCTGCTTGTTCTCGTGACATTTCAGGCACGGTATGAGATTGCTGCTTGTTCTCGCGATATTTCGGCTGCACTTTGGAAAGCAGAGCTAAATGGTAAACAAACATGGCAGCACACCGGTAAGGTAAGACAACACGTTTACATGTCGTTTTCTATATGTTCTCTGACATTTATCCTAATGATATGAGGTGGTCTTTGTGAAAAAAAAGCTTGTTTAGTGGACTTTGCACTTGAAGGTTGCCCGTTCACTTACGTTTTAACAGGTCTGACACTACTATGCACCCCGGCTGTATCTAGGCTAACGGCTAACATGCTAACTATTATTTTTTTGTCACTAGTCACTTTAAACAAATTTAGCACGATAGGAGACAGGTTGAAATAAACTGAAATTTCCCTTTAAATCCGATCTAGCACAGCCTCTGATGCTAGCGCTAGCAGCCAGCCTCTTCAAGTCACACTTGACCAGGCTTTCAAACTGAGCAAGTCTACATGTGACTGACTCACTAACTCCTTTGCAAAATGGATTGCAATGGACTGCAGATCAGTTTCAATGTTAGAGGACAGGGGGACAATTGTGTCCAGAATCCAGCAGCTTTGCTACGACACATCTGCAAAAAATTCATTTGAAATTCTTTAAATACTTTCACAGCAAAAACTGATATAAGCCATTTATTTAGATTATTTAATCACAGAGTATGCAATCAATTACATTAATCTTTTTAATCGCTTGACAGCCCTTATGATGAAACAATGAAACTAAGGGCACTTCCTTGTTTGTGTCCACATTCTGTTACAATATGACAATGTGGTCAAAGCAATGTCCAAAAGAAAAGCTGTCTGAGTTTGGTGTAAAAGATCTAAATTGGCCTGCACAGACCACTGACCTCAACCCTATCAAACACCTCGAGGACACCTGGGATGTGTTGGACTGCCAGCTGTGAGCCAGGTTTCATCGCTAATCATCTGTGCCCGACCACGGTAATGCTCATTTTTTTGAACACTGGCAGCAGGGATTTGCTCCCATTCAGCCAGGTTTCAGAATCAGTCACATACAGGTGTAATAACCAGGCGCCACTGTACTTCTGGCAATGTAGTGTATGGAAATGTAATACTTTTACAAAATTGGAATCCATTAAAGAAGAAAATAAAACAGAAATCTGTAAAAATGTGTATATTTAAAGGTGCACTGCTCAACTGAATATACTGGTAGCCTCAAGTGGCTACTGAGACACTACTTCTTGTTGTTTAAAGGAATATTTCATCCCTATAAATACTGACTGTGTCACCTTAAATTTGTGAAGAAACTTTTTTTGTGCATGCCTCCACAATAACAAAAGAATCCAAAAACAGAGAAAATTCCTGAAGTAAATCTCAAAAAGGTTTCATGCACAGACAAGAGTTTGAACTTTAAAACCCCTCATCCGAGCTCTTTCATTGGCTGCTAGCACTGCTGTCACTCAGCCATGCATGTCACTTCCGGGCCAGTAAACGATTTGGGAGTTGGGATTTAAATGGAGTGCACGAGCTGTGTTCATACGCATATGCTTGCCCAGACCTTCCACTGATCCCTCAGTGAGAATGTTTGTGCTTACGTTTTTAAAATAGTAAGTTTTTAGCAAAATGTGTGGGAAGTACTGAGCATATAAGTGCATAAATGAGACTTGGATTATACTGCTTGAGTTGTGTGAGAGTTTATAGGACAGATGTTTTGGTATAGTTTTGCTGGTGTTAAACTTGGACCCCCTCTTTTACTAAATTCATCAAGAATTTTCGGTTTTTGGATTCTTCACTCACTGTGGTCATTTTGGGGTGAAGTATCGTTTAAAGTGTTACCAGGAAAGCAAAGTGACGCCAGTACATGGAGTCCGTGTGCCTAAATTTCTTTTTATCACCGTGTAGTTGCTGTGAAGGCGCCTACGAGGTTTAGTCATGACTGGTGAGCTCTTTCGTTTCTCTGAACTGGATGCTTTCTGGGAAGTTTTGCAATTAAGACTAATGGGACAATGTGACACTGCTTTCAGTCAATACATTTAGACATTTAGCTAATTGCAGCCTCGTATTATCACAAAGCAACCACATTACCATTCTGTCATTATCTCTCCGTCATCATCTCGACATTTCATTAAATATGATTACATTTAATTTGCACTGTACATCATTGAGAAGGCATGTCGACAGTGAGTTACACTTTTCAAAGGCACTGTAATTGCAGGGTCAAGTGGTGTAACAGCTGTTAAAAGGCCGCAATATCGATCTATAGTGTGACAGTTTACTCAGTGCATCCATGGGGCTACTGTGGAGGAAGACATTGTAACTGAGACACTGAGCATATAAATGGCAATGAGACAGATCTCACCTTTTCATGGCTATGGTTGTAATGGTAGAGGAATTTTGCACATTCGTTATAATTGGCCCATGTCTTGTTGGCTGTGGCCAGCTCCCACGTTCCGTTGTTGTCACACCGGCGGTATGCTAGTCCTGGACATCAAACAGAAAAGCCTACATTTAATTACACATTTTGCCAGTTGTTTTCCAACCAAGTCAATTACTCATCCTCAGCTTGCTCCTTAATTAGATCTGCATAATTGTAGAAATTGCACGAGGTTTCAAAAGGAATATGTGTAGCACTGGAGGCCTGGTGCTCTTTCACCAGCTGAAAATGAGCTCCAGGGTTTCTGCTGCCGACTGCATCCACGAACAGACTCACCTTTATGGTTGAAGTCATGGATATACTCTGGACAGGAGGTGGATACAAGCTTTCCTGGGGGTCCTTCAGGCCAACAAACAATGCCGTCCCATTCTGGTGAGCAGAAACCATCTGCAGAGACAAAAGCAGCGTTGACTTTTATAGAACCACAGAGTGCCGTTCTCCTTCAGCTCCAGCATTACATGGCTATAGGCATTTCCAACACCAGTAGTCCTGTATGCTTTCAAGGATTCTGCTGTCCTTTAGAAAGTAGGCCAAGTGCATGAACTTTACGCAGTATGTTAATCAGCACAGTAGTGTATCCTTGTTATTTGTTGTCTGATTGTAAATGAGATCTTTTTTTTTTGTTGTGTTCAAGGAAAACATGGGCGACCCGCAGAGAAAACGCCCCATGTACTGTCACATAATTAAGACTTGCAATCATGGAATTCCCCATGTGCTGATAACAAGTTGTCCATGGAGTCTACAGTGTTCATTAAGGCTGGCGTGTTAGCAGCAGCAGATTTCAATAACTGCTACACAGGGTCATATTGTTTTCATGTTGTATGGAATTGGTTTCAGTATGGATCTCATTAAAAAGATTCCCTGCAACACTGGCTTCATTGTAGTATCCTTAGTGCTATTATGGCAAAACAAAAGTGCCATTATTTTCATCTCTGTATCAATAGTTTGTTCTTGAACTGCATTTATTATTGATACATCGTATGCCCCCCCGATGGGTTAAATGTGTTGTGTATCAAGTGTCGAAATATGCCCATCTCACGCTCTTCAAATGTCCTGTTTGGTCTGAACAAGACTCATATACACTAGTGTAGTGGTAGTTGATGAGATGGGTGTACTACTGGGTAGACAGATAGGTCACCAAGGAGATAGTGGGTGTTTTCTCCTATATGTTCCAATGGCTTTTTTGGCTGATAGGTGGGTATATTGTACTCTAGTGGTTCCCAACTGGTGGGTCGCAGGTCCACTGTGAATGGACCACAAGTGACTCACAAATGTGTCAAGTTTGAAAACACACATTTTATTTTAAAGTGCAGTGGATTTTACACACAGAGCTTTTTTTTGAAGTGCTATTTCCTGCTGTGGAATGAGAGACTTACGGACAGCTACTTAGCAGAGACAGCAAACTAGCTCAACGACATGGCCAAACGCAAGTATGACGCTGGATGTATTAAAGGGAAATTTCGGTTTATTTCAACCTGTCTCCTATCATCCTAAATTTGTTTCAAGTGACTAGTGACATAAAAATAATAGTTAGCATGTTAGCCGTTAGCCTAGATACAGCCGGGGCGCATAATAGTGTCAGACCTGTTAAAACATAAGTGAACGGGCAACCTTCAAGTGCAAAGTTAGTCCACTAAACAAGCTTTTTTCCACAAAGACCGCCTCATATCGTTAGGATAAATGTCAGAGAACATATAGAAAATGACATGTAAACGTGTTGTCTTACCTTACCGGTGTGCTGCCATGTTTGTTTACCATTTAGCTCTGCTTTCCAAAGCGTGGCCGAAATGTCGCGAGCTCTAGATAAAGCCCAGCTGGATACTACTCCAGGTGGAGGTGTCTCGTCCTCGGTCACATCCAGACCTTGAAAATAAGGCTGCAACCTGTCCCATTCCTTGCAACAGAGGCATTCCTCTTCTGTGGGCACTGGGGCACAGCATTCACAGGTACACCACCAATCTCCAGAGCTACTCAGCCTTGTAGCAGCCATTCCTCCTCTCTCGTCCTCTACCTGTTGTGCCTCTCCCTCTCTCTCCTCCTTTGTTCTTCAATTTCACAAAGCTCTTTGTCAGTGTATTCTGGCTCAAATAAATAAGGGCGGCCATAAAACTCTGCAAAATCAAATTCCTCCTCCACAAAGTCGAAGTCTGGCAAAAAGTCAGCCATTATTCTATAAATCTTTCATAAAATAAATGAATGAACTTTTCAGGCTACTGTCCGGTTCTGCCTTCCAGCTGCTGCTGCTTGTTCTCGCGATATTTCGGCCGCGCTTTGGAAAGCAGAGCTAAATGGTAAACAATTTATTTGAGCCAGAATACACTGACGAAGAGCTTAGTGAAATTGAAGAACGGAGGAGGAGAGAGAGAGAGGCGCAACAGGTAGAGGAAGAGAGAGGAGGAATGGCTGCTGCAAGGCTGCGTAGCTCTGGAGATTGGTGGTGTAGCTGTGAATGCTGTGCCCCAGTGCCCACAGAAGAGGAATGCCTCTGTTGCAAGGAATGGGACCGGTTGCAGCCTTATTTTCAAGGTCTGGATGTGACCGAGGACAAGACACCTCCACCTGGAGTAGTATCCAGCTGGGCTTTATCTAGCTCACCATATTTCAGACGAGGCGGTCTTTGTGGAAAAAAAGCTTGTTTAGTGGACTAACTTTGCACTTGAAGGTTGCCCGTTCACTTACGTTTTAACAGGTCTGACGCTATTATGTGCCCCGGCTGTATCTAGGCTAACAGCTAATATGCTAACTATTATTTTTATGTCACTAGTCACTTGAAACAAATTTAGCACGATAGGAGACAGGTTGAAATAAACTGAAATTTCCCTTTAAACTGTGTGGACATTGAACTAATGACTAAGCAGAAATCTGGACCCCGTTGCCAGACCAGTTGGGAACCACTGCTGTAAACAGTCAGAAAAAGGTGTAGGTGGTTATACCTCATATAATGTGTACACCTTCCACTACACCACTGGTCACATAGGATAAAACAGAAAGCAAATCTTATATTTGAGAAGCTGGAAACAATACATTTGCCACATTCCGAAAACTGTATTCGCCACACGTAGCCCTGGTTACGGGTAATTTTCTTTCTTTTTACCGCCACTGTCTAATAAAGACATGAAATACTGTGATGGTCACAGCCACACATGGTAATGTTTTCCCAATCAACACTCTTTAAACTCATTAGTTTGTTATCTACACAGGTTACTTTCATTTATGGTCAACCATACCTGAACAATTCGCATCACACAGTTGGTGTGATTTAGAATCTATTTATTTGCTTTTTAATCTTACATTGTTTAATTTAAGTGTGCACATTCAAGCATTCAAGCATTGTAGGGTTACTTAATCTTTTGTTTCTTTGTCTTTGAGCCACCATGGTTGTTTGGGGAGGTCCGTTCCTGGTGGAGAAAAGGCGTGGCTGAGGGCTGAGGACTCCTAATGGTGCGTTCATTTTGTACTCGGATGTCGGAAGTCGGAATGACGTCACCTCCGAGTTGGCAACAGTTTTTGCATTCTAGTTGACAACGGTGGACAAGTCGGAAAAAAACATGGATGCCCGCAAGAAAGCCTTTGTTGCCCTTGCACTTTCGGAGTATAGACAGCTTCAAAACCATCATGCACTCCAACTGATGAACGCTGCAGATGAGGCTGACCTAAGGTAAAACAAATAAGATAAAATTGTGTTTACTCACTATGTATGTGACCGGCAGCCAATCTTGAATTTGTAAGTCGGGGTTGATGCAGAGTTTCCGAGTTGGAAATCCGATCTCAGGTTGTGTTCGAGTTTAAACTTCTGACTGGGAACTGGGAATTTCCGACCTCCAAATACAAAACGAATGCACCATAAATCCTGGAGCTAACTCATTGGACCAAACGATGTGCTGCCATGTCATGGGCGATGTTGACCTTTTTTATAGGCCTAGTTGTTCATTTCTTGGTTTGTAATTTTTCATGCATTTTATGGGCAAATAAAACCCCACAATTTTGTCAACAGCTCTTGTGTCCTTGTAACCTCACTGCTTGGTCCCTAACAAATACCCATAATAAAAGTAATTATAATCATATCAATAATAAAGCATATCTTTTTGCATTTCTTGATGAAAAGCTGTAAGAGCAGGGCTGCAACTTACAATTATTTTCAATGTCAATTAATCTGTCCATTATTTTCTTGAATTATTTATTAGTTGTTTTTGTTTCGAAAATGGTGCTAATTGTCCATAAGTGTTTCCCAAAGCCCAAGATGACGTCCTCAAATGTCTTGTTTTCCACAACCCAAAGATATTCAGTTTACTGTCATAGAGGAGGAAAGAAACATGAAAATATTCACATTTAAGAAGCTCGATTTAAATAATTTTGCCTTTTGTTTCTTAAAAAATTACCTAAACTGATTAATTGCTTATTAATAGTCAACAACTAATTGATTAATCATTGCAGCTTTAATTTCTAGGCAAAGCAATTAAAGAAAATATTACAACATCCTGTAATTACACTTCCTACTTTTTTAGTTACAGGATTGGCTGATCAAAAGAAACTTTTTTCAAATAATGTTTAATATTTTTGAGATCATGGCGACGAACACGTATAAAAAGTGGTCTATGAATCAGTATAACATGGACTTTCCTACAAGACTGTGTGCTGCTCCTGATGAACACAAACCTCAATGTTCTACTTTCATGAAGAACGCATAGTAACACGTCTTAACTTCAGACAAAGGGCTGCAGGTTCAAAGGGGGAACAAAAATGCCATTTCCAAGCACAGAGCGCCTTAATTGTCAGCTAAATCATGGACCTCAGTCCTCTGATAGTGGGAGCAAACTAGTCCCTTTCCCCACAGATTCCTGGCAGCAGCCTCCCTCATGGCTTGGCATTTATGTTGTATTATTGAAAACATCTGCCCCACTTTGACCACTAATAAGTAGCTAAGGATAAAACTAAAACTATCCTCTCTTTGCAGTAGATCCATTATTTTCTCATTCCTGTAATCAAACTTGCAAAGAAACATCTGAAGCAATGACGACATGCTTTTTATTTGCCTGTCACTTGGAGCGCAAAATTAAAGAGCAGACTGAGTGGAGCTGACTGATTCCTACAGATCTCTGGTGGGAGAAAAACAGCATTTAGTTTTGAAAATCACGCTGACCACACATCCTGGGAGTAAAAGTAGAATTGCTGTTCACTTTTGCCATAGGTTTTATTACCATAGGACCACCTACTAACAGGCTTAAATTAAACACAGAACACACACACATATATAATTTCCCGTAAATTTCTCGACCGCGATTTAAATATAAACGTGACTACAGGGGGACTTTGGTATTTGTGATGTCACTTGGGTTTTTAATTCAGTTTTCTTTCCCCCCCCAACTCATTTGACTCTGACCTGCAGA